GAATACAATCACTGACTCACTGGGGAATGCAAGTACATCCAGTTAGCTGATGAGTTCCAAACAGGACAAAATGCGCCTTATCCTGGATTCCCCTTCTAGTCACCATCCCCCCATGAAATTCTAAACTGAATAATTGTTAGCAATCAAGGTAAGTTCAGGTTTGTATACTCAGGTTTGCTTAAAGCCTATTGAATCCTGTACACACTATCATTGTATATGCCCTCTTTACTATTTTTCAATACACTAACGTCTGTTCGTTCAGTAGAAGGCTGTTACAAAAATGTGTATACTCTAGTTCACATTAAACTCTCTAACACACACACACACGCACATAAGAACATTTCATGATAAAAAAATCACATTCTCGCTTAACATCAATTGGCGCATCAATTTAACTAACTGACTTTAATATTTATCATTGATGTGCCCAATATTTTGACAAGAGAATTATGCTACACTGCTACCGCATAACACTTTATATGTATATATGTATGTGTGTATTGGTGCCTAGCAGCTCTGCTTCGCTTTACTTTGATCGATAAAGTCAAAAAAGAAACTAAGCACAAAAAGCAGCATAAAGATGCGATGACAAATCCTTGTTTGATATCATTCACATGTATAAATATACACATATCAGAATTAACTGAATTGAAGTATAACAAAAAGGCATTCAGTTAAGTTTGAATGAGTCATTAATAAAATGATTAGTTTTTACTAAGTAAATCATACAAAATAAGGAATATAATTAATAACAGTAATAATAATAATAATGATAATAGAAAAAATTTAAAATATACATTCTGTGATTTGTTTAATGTAAAAGAAGACATATTGGCTACAGTGTTTTCATCCGCTGTTTGTGTATATGAATAGTTTTTAATCAATCATTTTCCAGTTGCCGACCAATTATGATTGCTCAAGTGAAAGACAAGCTACCTAGCTAGCTGTGCCACTTCTGTGTGTATCTATAAATTTAGTTGCTCCTGTGGAGAAAGCTGGTTATATAGGGCGAACAACTAGACAGCTCAATAAACGCATTATTAATGAGCATCTTCCTTCCTCAATGGTTCGGAAAAGGTCAAATAAAATCGATGAGAAGTTCTATATTGGCTCATTTGATTGATGATAGCTGTCACCAAGTGGATAGAAGATGAAGTGCCTTCAAAGTTATCTATCGCATTCCATAGAGCCTTTCGAACGGAATTAGAACCCGTCTTGTACACATAGCTGAAGAAGCTATGGGAATTAATTCGAGAGAACAATCTTAGTCTTTGCATACAACAAAAGAAGTTTGTTCTACATTTGTCTCTCCCTTGCTTCGCCTAGGTGAATTCTAATCAATCAAAACCCTCCCACCCTTTCTTATTTTCCATCTCTTTCGTACTTTTATGATATTTATTGAAACTCTGATTATCTGTCCACTTCACCTTTTGAGATTTTTTTTTACGAGTTGATCACGGATTGATATCAGATAGAGAACCATTGGAAACCAGCCACAGCGGGTATTGGACAGCTGTTTCATCCTAGTTTAAGAATCATCGGTAGTACTCACCCACTGCCAGGTATCGAACCCAGGACCGTCCGGTTACAAGGCAAGCTAGCTCGTAGACCATTCAGACACTGGGACCCAATTTAATAGCTAACCCATGAATTCTAACTTCTACCAATTCATGATTTAGCGCGACCCCAACCAATGTCGTCGGTGCGAAATCCATCCTCACACGTGACATCTTGATGGACCTCACTGGTCACGACTTCTCACTAGAACTGACTCCAGGAAACTCCATCCTGTAGCCAGTCACTAGCGAGCATCGGATTAATTTTCTATAGTTGGTTTGTAGGGATTATTTTTGTTATTTTACGAGTTGATCATTAATTGATATCAGTTAGAGAACCATTGAATTCCAGTCACAGGGAGTACTGGACAGTTGTTTCATCCTAGTTCGGGAATCATTGGCAGTACGCACCCACTTGGATTTGACCTAATTTATTTGTTTATTGAATTGTCTACATATACACATACATATTACTACCTTTGTTATTCTTATCGCCACCTGCATAAACCTTATTATCACTGCTTTGTCATCATTATAATCATCGTTATTAATTACGTTCAAAACATTTACCACATTATTATTATTATTGTTATTATTATTATTTGATTCACAAAATCACCATCATTGGTTAAAAAATTTTATATATAAATCTATATAAATTAGAGTAAAGCCTGAAGAAGATCTAATTGAAAACAACAGCGATATTGTTCACTTATATGCGTCTTGTTCTAATATTAATAATGGGAATATTTAAAGATTTCAATTTTAATCAACAGTTCTTGTACTTATCACATTGATCATTGCCTAGGGTTCCGAGTAGAATATAAAGGCGGCTTCATCTCATCAATGTTTTCTGTAGTCCATTTTAGCTAGGTCCCACGATACGATTTCCCATAGGCGCTTTTGTATTGTCCTCACATGATCTGGTTCATGTCACCCGCCCCCCTCGGAGGACACTCAACTCATTTGTTTCCTATTCGACTTCTACATACGGTCTCCTTATCATATTGTCTGGTGCATTCTATTTTGATTGGACACTAGTCAGTAACTATTGTCGCGTGTCTGGCCAGCCTTTTCTTTGATGCAGACAGAATTCTGTCAGTCAGTCAGGCTGGCAATGTGGCCACACTATGCCACTAGGTGGTAGCTCGCCATCACGATGCACATTGATTTGATGATATATTAGATAGAGGCAATAGGCCACAGAAGCCTTGCCGTGACCTAGGTTTCGTGCTAGTTGGCACTCGTCAGCAAGGTGGCGTATCTGCAACCTTGAAGGTAGGAACTCATGTCCCTTCTATAACTACACTATACTTCCAAGCTCCTCATCTAATCTTCAGTATGCCACAAAAACGGCTATTGATAAAAGTGTGAAGCCTTTTCGAAAAGTTTCTGATGACACGCGCGTCAAGTATCTTCAGCATATAGAAGCGATGAATGGCTTGACATATGAGTTGAAAATCTGAATCTTGTTCTTTATGTTTGAATGCAAAGATTAATGATGGTATCTGTTATTTTCACGATCCTTCTTGCCTTTGATATCCTTATTCGTGTCCTCTGTAGTTGGAACAATACCGCCTAGATGATTGAAACTGGTGACTGCCTTCGAAGTTCTTCTCTTGATAGTGATTGTTGTTTCTTGTTGTCGGTTGGTTGGTTGGCTGGTTGGTTATCTTCATCACCTCCATCTTCCCTATATTAACTTGAAGTCTTGTCTTCGCTGCTTCTTATGCTAGATTGTTGGTTTCCACCTGTATGTCTTAGATTTCGTCTGACATTCTATATAAGTCATCTGTGAAGTTCAGATATTCTAGAGTCTTTTTGTCAGCTGCCAATAGACACACCACAACTTATTCCTGTCTCTTCACTTCTCACGGTTTCACCGCATAATTCAGTCTATCACAATCAAGAATATCATCGGTGACAACCGCGTCTTACTCCTACCTTCACTTCAAAGGCGTCGCTTCTCCTTAGTGTGTTAATACAGAAATTAACTAAACTGAGTTAAAAGGAACTAAGTTAGCATTATAGAACTTAGTACACAAGTGCAGCAGTTCAGGTTACCATGCTTTACATAAAACAACACAAAGAAAAAATGATGGAGAGAAATAAGTAAAAAGAAACTATGATAAACAGAGATTTATGAGTAAAATAATAATTACACGAAGAAATAATAAGAATTTAATGGATTTAGGAAATCAGGCCAAGTTAAACTTTAAGCATCACTAACTACCAATCAGCGAGTGACCTCGAATTGTCCAGTGAGGCTCATGTCCACGTGAGTTCAAGCTTGTCTTCAGCTTGATTCGTGTCAAATGGCTGCTCTTACGAAGTTACGCTTGCAGTTCGATGAGGATAAAGTTTTACAGTATTGCCTGGATTTGGGGTTGCTTAAGAAGAAGAGGACTTGTTCATGTGGAGTTTTGAAAAGCTTCAGCAGGTCGATTGATGGATATGTTGTTCATCGTTGTGGAATTAGCTTGAGACGAGTTAGTATTAGGGAAGGTAAGCTGATGATTTTAATATTTCATAGGAACATTTTTTGCTAGGTTGCATCTCTCCCTAACCCAGATTTTGTATATTTGTAGTTACTGGGTTTTAAAACAGCCTGTGAGATGAGCAGCCGCATGCAACTGAAAATAGCTTCGTGTCAACAGTTCAGTGGTATCAGCACTGCAGAGACATCACCTCATGGAAAATGGAGAGAATTACTTCGTTGTTAGGCGGAGAAGGTGTCGTCGTGCCCGTGGACGAAACTGTCTTATTGAAGAAAAAATACAACCGTGGTCGTGAGCGAGCCAACAGTGTTCGGGTGATTGGTTTATATGACACCTCCCTGCAGAGGAGATTCATGGAGAGAATACCAGACAGAAAGTCAACTACTTTAATACCTATTATTACTAGACTTGTGAAATAGGGATCCATAGTACATACTGATGAATGGAAAGGTTATAACTCGCTGTCATCTCTTGGATATATTCATCACAAAGTGAACCATTCCAGTGACTTTGTGGATCCCATTACAGGGACACACACGAATTCTATGGACGCATTTTGGGGAAGATTAAAAGAATAGTATTCGGGCTATAAATAGATCTCAAGAGGCTCTCATTTATAGCCATTTGGATGAATATATGTACAGAATGTGGTGTGACTTTTCCATTGTCACTCCTAGGCTAAACTGGGAGAAGGATACCCTAGGTAACAGTTTTGTGTAGTTTTTATGCTTTTTTCCCCATAAATATACGTTTTCTATAATGGAAAATCCTTCTATCATGTGATTGGTTCGTTGAAGGTCGTCCGCTGATTGGTTGTTAGTGGTGCTTAAAGTTTAACTTCGCCCATCCCAGATAAGATAGGTTAAAGCTTATTCAAATCTTCAGGGTGACTGTTAAATCTGTAATTATTGAGATTTTTAAATTTTGACAAATTGATTCATTTCAGGTTATATTAAAGTGAACGGATTCAACGGTGTTCTGTCCTTATATGGACAAGCTATTGCCAAGTTCAATACATCATCGAATGAAAGTGCCAACGCATTGATTAGTTTAGCCAATGCTGTAAATACAACTCGCATCAATTCATTAGCAGAGTTAGCTGATTTACCCGATGTCTCTCCAACGCTAAAATGCAGTTTACCATCAACTAAAGCGTTTACATTGCTAAGGGGAATTAATGATCCTGATATGCCATGGCTTGGATTTCTACTTGGTCAAACACCTGCATCTATATGGTATTGGTGTGCTGATCAGGTAAGCTATCAGTAATTTGTGTATTAATTAAATGGAAGTAAATACTGTGATAAAATTATCATTATTATTATTTTCCATTTTGCGTTGATTGGTTATTTTCAAGAGTTTGATTGTAAGTAGAGATTTGATTAGATTTGTTCCGGTTTTGATCGTATAGTGATATGAGGTGGATAACCCTTGAAAAAACCAATTATTGCTACTGGACAAATGTGTCGTCCCAGTTTGGGACTCATCAGAAAGTACGTACCCACCAGGCCTTGAACTGAAGACCCGGTGAGGAGTGAGGATAGGTACACGTCAGTGACATTGGTTGGTGCCAGTCGCGCTCAAATCACGATTCATAGACTGGCCATTGGGGAGTCGTATCCCAGTGGGTGAATGTCCTACGAGCTCGCTTTGCAACCGGAAGGTGTCCTGGGTTCGAACACTGGCGATGGGTGCGTGCTGCCAATGATTCCTAAGTCAGGACGAAACAGTTGTCCAGTGCTCCATTGTTCCCAGTGTTTCTCTAACTGATATCAATACGTGATAAAACTTGATTGATGACATCGGACTGGAATACTTGGTCATCCTGGATTTGACCGTCAGATACTGCAGACTAAATAACAAAGTGGAAGGAAAATACTTTACATTTTTATGTACAATAATTTGTTACCATCAGTAGTCAAGTGAAAGTTAAAGTGCACCAAATGTTGGACATCTGTTTCTTTTCTTCGTTAAACTTTATGCCTGATGAATACACCTTTATACTTCAATTAAAAATGTAGCAGTAATTACATTACTTTCTTTTTATTCATTTTTTTCCCTATTTCTTTACGGTTCTATTGTCTTCTCTTCTGTTCTGATTAAAAGCGGCAGGTCGGAAAGACAATTTACTTGCAGTATTATTATATAATCAAAGGGATGTGGACTGATGAAAATCACTTATGACAGGTTTATTCACAGGTTTTTTTCCGAAAATCTTTCTTGTAAATATATGTATGTATATTCATACAAGGACAGAAGGGGATATTATTATTATATCACTATTGTTTCCTTCAGTTCCTAGAGGAACATAGGGCTTCAGCCACACGTCTCCATTGCGTTTGGTTCTCTGCCAACGTTTTCACCAGGCTACACATCTCTCCACATTCCTTCATCTCCTCTTCACATGACCTCCTCCACTCTATGTCACCGTCGCACTGACCGCCAGCTCGTCGCTTCCCATTCGGGTTCCACTCAAGTGATGGCCTGGAGTGTGATGTCACTTGATGGTTTTCTCAGAGTAGGACCAATCCAATCCACCTCCATTTCTTCCTGCATATTTGTTGCACAATTGGTTCCTGTTGGGTTGGTTCGTTCATTGCCAGAGATCCCTCTCTGTTGCTGATCTTTTCTGACCGGCCATTTAATCTTCAGCCAAGTATTGAGCGAAGATAACTGTTGATGAAGGTCTGTAGTTTGTTCGAAGTGCCCTTTGTGACGTGGTGCGGCGCGGCACCAAGTCTCTGATCAGTATAGTATGTAGCACTAACTTCACATTGGAGTTGAAAATTCGGATCTCATTTTTCATGCTGAGTGGTGAGTGTTGGTCTCCACACAGACTTGAGAGTGATGAAAGCTTGTCTTGCTTTCCCGATCCTCCCTGCTTTGATATCCTCATTAGCTCCGTCCGCCTGTATTTGAAACGATGCTTCCCAGGCAGGTAGGTGGGTAGGTAAAGGAGGTTGCTTCTTTCAGATCCATCCCATTTATGCTGATTGTTGTTGTTACTGTCGCTTTTGGCCAGCAATCTTCATCACCTACCTCTGTTTTCTCTATGTTCACCGGAAGTCTTTCCTATCTTTGATGCTTCTTTTTCCAACTTGTTGCCTTTCATTTACATATCCTCCAGTTCGTGGGAAATCAAAAATATATCGCATCGGCAAAATCCAGATCCTCCAAGTTTTTTATGTGAGTCCATTTTATGCTTGTTTCCTTGCTGCCCGCTCTCTGTATGTCGCATCATCCAGTCTACCGAAATCAGGAAATTGATCATTGGAGATAGTAGGCGGCCTTCCTTGTCTTACTCCCGTCTTCACTACGAAGGATTCCGTGAGTATCCCATTGTGGAGTACTTGTCATACAGCATAATCGAGTAACTGTTGGATGAGGTGTATGCCACCCTGTAGTAGCCAAATATTTGGTTCCCTTGATAAATTTCGACAGAGAAAGGAAAACCAAATTTTTAGTTCTTTTTACTCTTACGTTTGAACTCTCCTTCACTCTGCTGATGTACATCAAGTTAACTTGAGTGGACACAGTTTGTCGTAAATTTTTAACAGTGGTCTATTGTTCAATATGCGACTAGCAGTAGTTGGTTAATATATTTAATGAAAATGCTTAAAAATAAGTAGTCAATTATAAATCATCCTACACTTAATTTTTTATAAAAAAAGAAATAATTCCATATAAACTAATGAAGTAAAAGTACTTAGCTAAATGATTATTTTTTCTTCCTCTTTAAATTGGCGGTTGAATAAATTCTACCTTCTCATCCATCCATCCATTTGCCGCCTTCTCAAACATTTAGCACTTAGTCATACTTATTTCTATAAAGGCATCAACTTGTAACTGTGAAAGAATAAAAGTTGAATACTTATTATACTTATGACTGATTCATCACATCCTTAGTTCAAAAATGGAGGCATTTGATTATAATGCGTGATAACGTTTAACTCGATTCTGGTAGACGTTTTTGCTATCTCTGTCTTTAAATGAATCTAACGAAACTTGACTAACTAACTAACTTATGCATCATACAGCAGCGTAAAAAAGCGCATCGTCTCCATCTGATACACTTTTGATGAAGTTCATACAAAAGAAGAGAAAGAAATCTACTAGAGCTATAATGGAGATTTTTTCTAAATCCTCAAAATGCAAAACGAATGATATAAAGGATTGCCTCCAACCACCTAATACCTGTGCGTTGGTGGCACAGTGGTTAGGACGCTCGCCGACCATGCATATGGTCCGGGGTTCGATCCCCGGCCACTGACGCACTCCTTTACCTCGCTAAACCAGTAATACTACTGGTAAAGAGAGGAGGGTGGACATGAGGCCAGCAGCAACCACATCCTGTAAAAAAATAATCACCACTGCTACATAAACTTCAAGCCTCTAGCTTGAAGCCCTCTCTATGTTCCACTGGGAACGTGAAGGAATAAAAACAAATAAATAAATAATAAATAACTAGCCCATTTCATTGGCGAGTATTTGTCTTCATTCCCAACCCTGTAGTGGCGAACCTTTCTGATCACAACTTCTCACTAGAACTCCAGGCAACTTCGTCCCGTAGCGTAGCTTTGACTTGTAACTGGAAGGTCCCGGGTTCAAACGTTGGTGGTGGTGGGTGCATACTGCCGATGATTGCCAGATTAGGACGATAGTTCTTGAACTGATATCTCTTCACGGTCAAACTTAGTATTTGTTTTTACATTGGACACTAGTAACTAATGTGACGTGTCTGGCTAGTCCTTTCTTTGGTGCAGACTGAATTCTATCAGTCAGTCGGGTTTGCAATGTGGCCACCATGCCACTAGGTGGTAGCTCGCCATCACGGTGCACATTGATTTGATGATATTAGATAGTTAAGGACAATCGAGAAGAAGCTTTGCCGTGACCTAGGTTATGTGCTAGTTGGCACTGGTCAGCAAGGCGTATCTGCAACCTTGAAGGGAGGAACTCATGTCGCTTCTGAGACTCAAACCCGCGTCAACCAGTGCCACCTTCAGTCAGAGACGTTACCACTGAGAAATTCGGGCTGTTTCGCGATTGACCTTCCGTAGGACTATAGTGGGTATTTTCATTGGACACTAGTCAGTTACTAGTGTGATGTGTCCGGCTAGTCCTTTCTTTGGTGCAGACTGAATTTTATCAGTCAGTCAGGTTTGCAATGTTTGTTTAGGATAATCGCACTAGAAATCTACTTTGATTTAAACAAGAGCAGATTTTATTGATGAGATCAGTTCTTTACTGCATTTTCATTTTGGTTAAAAAAATGTAAGTAGGAGGAGGAGGCGGTGCAGAAGGAGAGACGTATAATAATAATAATAATAATAATAATTTGCTTTATTCCAAAACAGTACTTGTGATACAGAATGGAATTCTCAGCATTTTTACTACAGTATTGCATCCAGTAAGTACATTATCGATAAATAAAATTCTACAAAGATTAAGGAAATCTCAGTCCATTATTACAACAACACATTGGCATGTCGGTAGCAAAGCCAAAGTTGAACAGTGTTTGAAGGTGTTAGAAAAGTAGATGCTATCATATTTACTGGCGTAAGCGGAGGAAAGAAACAAAGCAGCACATAACGAAAAAAAGAGAGAAAAGGAAAAGAAAGAAAGAAAACGTCGTACCTATAAGTGATATGAGTTGGAAAGACGAGGTCCAGTTGTTCTACTGACTATTTAATAAGTCATAGGTATCACGCCTAATGCTTTCTTTATTGCACAGAACACGAGCTAAGTAGGGAGTATGGTTGAGTTTTTGTACTTGCTAGCGCAAGCATATAGTTTTCTATATAGGCTTCTGGATTTGCCTGATGATATACAAAGGGAGAGTTTTGACTGAAGAGGGTGGTGTGAGTTAGATAAAATGGATTTAGCCCATTTTTCACATGAGTCCATGTGCCTGTCGACCAGAATATTAACAAGCTGGTTAAGTGGCACGTTGCTTACCCTGCTGACAACCTTTAACATCCTGCATTAAAAGGTATAGTCTTTCTTCAGTAGCCCAGGAAAAACTAAAGGGGAACAATAGAGAATAATAGGCAGAATGCGAGAGTTGTTAACGAATTGTACGAGTAAGGGTTGGGTTATACCAGAATGTTTTAACTTTTTGATGTAGAAGCAAAAGACGGAATATTTTCTTAGAAATCGTCAAGATATATCAGACGACCAGGAACTTAACTAACTTAACTGTTTGTTGAAAAATGCATAAATTATTCAGACAAGAACAAAAATTTCTTTTTCTT